AAATTAACTGTTTCTGTACAAGTGAAAGTGTAAGACAGATTGAACACACATGCATATACATACTGTATTAATCACTGATCTCAAGCTATGACCAAATACCTGTCAAGAAGCAATTTAAAGCAGGATGGATTTAGAGTAGCTATCACCAGGAAGTTCCTTCCCAGAGCCCCATGTCCCAGTGGCCTAACATCTGTCAGCTATACTCCATAGCCTATAGGTTCTATAACATTCTGAAATAACATTTCCACCTGGAAACCATGTGTTGAAACCCTTTAACCTTTAGGTGACAAAAGGATAAAATACACCAGTCGAAAGAAAACAGAGAAAGAAGGAAGAAGAAAGAAACAAACAAAGGAAGGAATGAAGGAAGAAAGAAAGAAGACAAAGTAAATCTCCCAAATTAGAAAGGAAGCAATAGAAATGGAGTTTCCTTGCAGATAACTCCCTTATGGAAGATTCCACTGCTAAGTGAGCGTTAACGAGTTAGATTTTAAATAAAAATTCAAAACATACCTATCAATTGAACATCTGTGCATGTCAAATGTGAGTGAGCCAGTTACAAAAGGTATCATGAGATGCAACAGTGTATCAGAGGAGTTCAGAAGTGCTCTGAACTCTAACTGTGCAATGTCTTAATTAGAGAAAATAAAACTTTTCAAAAACCATTAAAGAAGTCATAAATAAATGAAAATAAATGTTATGTGCTTGAGTAAGGCACAACACTAAAATGAGTTAATTCTTCCAAAACTGAACTAAAATTTAATTGCTATTCAATTGAAATCCCAGCAGGAGATTTTATAGAGCACAATACATTTATTCTAAATTTATTTAGATATATTCTAAATTTATAAGTAAAAATAAAGAGGCCCAGGATACCCAAGGCAATCTTTTAAAAACAAAAGATGAGATATTTTATTTTGCAGATGCCAGGTCCTACTATGTTGTAGTAATTAAGGCATTTTGTAATTGAAGAAAGAAAATAAAGACTGGGTAGCTGGGGATACAAAAGTTAACCTACATCTCCTTTCTTTCCCTTTTCACATAACACACACACACACACACAGAGAGAGACAGAGAGAGAGAGAGAGAGAGAGACCCCTATACACAAAAATGTAATTATTAAACAAAATAATTATAGCTTATATAATGATCTCCATGGGAAAATACAATAAATTTACTTGAAAAAGCTCAGAAAAAAATACCTCAGATGTATTAAACTTAAAGGTGACTTATAAATTGTCTCTAAATGTTTGTAAACTATTACCAGAATAGAATACTATTTTGCAGTGATAAATCAAATAGATGAATCTCAAAAAAAAAAAAAAAATGATGGTGAGCAAAAACAGCTGCTTACTTTTATACAAAATTATTATACCATAAAATTAATTCAGTTCCATAGGTTTACATGAATGTAAAACTCTTGAAAACACGCAAGCTATTTATAAAAGTGAAGGGAAAGGAACAGGATTGCAACACTCACTGTGGGTAATGTGCATATGGTTCTTAAATTCCTTCCATAGTTTCTGTTCATAATTTGATGAAATGTAAGTATGATTAGCATGTAATACTTTTAATATAATCTTATAAACATCTTTAAATACTTCCCTTACTGAACCATGTAAGTTAAGTCTTCCAATTCATATTGTCATTTATTTTTCATCGATCCTAGTTCGCTTCAGCTGTCAACTTGACAAGCCCAGACTTATCTGGAAGATTTTCATTGGGGATTTTACCTTTATCAGATTGGCCTGTGGGTATGTCTTGATTGCTAATTGATGTGGGAGGGCCACCAGGCACAGTGAGTAGATGGGTACTGGTAGATGGGCCTGGGTTGCATGAGAAATGTAGCTGAACAGAAGCCTGTGAGCAAGCTACTAAGTATCTCCATGGTTTCTGCTTCAAATTCCTGTCTTGACTCCCTTCAACAATGCACTGTGACCTGTAAGATGAAATAAACCACTTCCACCCTGTCATTTTTTGGTGATTATGTTTGTCTTAGCTAACATTTCTATTGCTGTGATAAAACACAATGACCAAAAGCAACTGGATAACAAATGGTTATTTCACCTTACAGCCTGAGGTCCATCATCCAAGGAAGTTGAGACAGAAATTCAAGGCAGAAACCTGGAGGCAAATACTAAAAAAAGAAGTCAGGGAGGAATAATGTTTATTGGCTTTCCTCCTGACAGTTTTCTCAGAGTGCCTTATAGCACCAAGGCTCACCCGTCAAGGACTGGCATCATCCCCACTGAGCTGGGCCCTCCCACATCAATAGTCAGTTAAGAACATATACCACAATCTCCCTCACTGGCTAAACTAGTGCAGGCATTTTCTCAGCTGAGGTTCCCTCTCCGCAAATGACTCTAGCCTGTGTCCAGTTGACAAAACAGCTGCCAGCACAATGTTTATCCCAGCAACAGAGAGCCAGCTAAGATGTCATCAACAAATGCTACCAGCTGTAATTAAGTATTTATTTTTTTTCCCCAGGATTAATGGCTGAACTCCATGGATCTATATTCCTTGGAAATAGAAACTGTGTCTTTCGTTGAACACTGTGAAATTCAAAAACTGTCCCATATAGGAGTCCATGCATGTATTAGGTTCAAGTTCCTGAGAGCCATTTCATCAATGAAGGTAAGATAACACAGTGGAGAGCTTTGTTATATTAATAAAGGTATGAGTGGAACATATGGAATAGAACTGATTAGTAAACAAGAGTGGTGTGTGTGTGTGTGTGTGTGTGTGTGTGTGTGTGTGTGTGTGTGTGTTGGTAGCTATTGCTACAGTCTCACATGTTATTTACTGCCTCAAAAGTAGTTGTCTAACCTAGTTTATTTCATGCAAGTTTATCAAATCAGCTCTACTGATTCAGTTACAAGCATTATATCTTCTATTTATATGTGCAAATTTAGAACACTTCGCCAATAAATACACAAAAGTAGAAGCATCAAAAGAGAGGGCTAAGCCCTGAGGATACAAGAGGGGCCTAGTTGGTACTGTCTCCCTCCTCTGTAATATGTTGGTGGGGACAAGGTAAAGATGTCCCTGCTTTGCCCCTACCTCCTCTAGCTGGCTAGGGAGCTGAACCCTTTACCAGCTGCAACACTTGGGAAAGCAGGCCCTGTATCTCACCTGGGCAGCACAATAGAGCCAATGTTATTGGTGGCGGTGTGGGTGAGCCAGCCCTGAGGGTGAGCATGGGAGAACAGTCAAAATTAATCATCTGTTAAGTGATGGCATTGGGCAGGAGAAAGATGCCCCCTGCCATTAAAACCTGAAGTAGGTGGGATAGCTGGCCCTGAGGTCACAAAAGTGGGAGAGCTGGCCCTGCCCCGAATCAGCTGAAACACTTTGGAGAATGACTCATATGCCATGCCTGGGCTACATAGCAGAGCTGGCCCTGAAGATCTAGGTGCGGGAAAACTGATTCTGAGGACATGAAAGCTGAAGAACTGGACCTGCTCCTTGCTCATCACTGTGAGGAGTGAACTGGCCTGGGTAATGCAGGAGAGCTCCCTCTGGTGGTGAGGACAGGGAAGAACTGGCAGGCTGACCAAATGCAACTACTACCCAGGCCCAGAACCAGGGTTATAGGTTGTATCCCCTAACCCCACCCCACTTGTATTCTGCTGGAGGACATGAAGGGGCCAGTACTGCACATCCAAAGCTGCAGGGTCTCCACAATACGGGACAACAAAAGCATAACCAAGAGGAGTGCCAGTGAGGGCCTGGTATTGACACTGAAGCAGAAACCAGAGGCCTCAAACCAGCCCAGTGACTCCCTGCCATGAACACTTGCAAATAATTGTATATAGATAAGGGTATTTGCTGTGTGACTCACTGCATCACATTACAGGTTCCAAGATGAGATTGATTTTTGAAATTCTATTTTATCTCTTAAATTTTATTTTATTTTATTCTGGAGGGGAGGTTGCATGGTCAGAGGGCAGATATGAAGGGATTGGGGAGATGAATGGGATGGAGATGCATTATTTAAAAGACACAAAGAATAAATAAAAATAAAAGTTAAAAAAAAAAAAAACCAAAGCAATGTTTGGGGAATGGTTGAAGTGCTTGGTGCACAAACATTAGGACTGTGTTCAGATTCCAGAACCCATGTAAAATCTATGGCAGCAGTGTACATCTATAACCCAGCACTAATGGATAAAGAAACCCTGAAGACTCATATTGGCCATACACATTAGCTGAAGGACTGATTTCTAGGTTTGGTGAGAAAGACTGCATCAAAATATGAGGTGGAAGGGCTGGAGAGATGTTTCAGAGGAACAAAGCTCTGTCTGCTCTTCCAGAGGGCCTGGATTAGATTCCCAGCGCCCACATGGTGGCTCACAAATGGCCGTAACTGCAGTTCCCAATGATCTGACATCCTAGTCTAGCTGCTGTAGACACAGTGTGTACATGATGGACAGATATACATGTAAGCAAAACACCCATATAAAAATAAATGAATAAAAAATTTTGAAAATGAGGTGGACAGTGATAAAGGAAGATACCCAATGTTGACCTGTGGCTTCACATGAGCACATAGGCCTAAGTACCCTCATCCTCACCCCTCATGTATGTGCCCTTACATGGGTATACACACACACACACACAAACACACACACACACACATGATTGCAATAGTAAAGAAAATGGGTTTTCTTTTCTTGGAATTGGATAAATATCACAAGATCATACATATTTCATATGTTTCATTTATGTTTTAAAAGAAAAACATTTGTGTCAAAATTAAAGTGATACTTCCAATGCTGATATAAGAAGCCCATATACATTATAAAGTTGTCAGTTCAATCACAGATTAAAAAGAAACCATTCAGTGACCAAGAATGTACAGCCGATTAAGACAGTGACCTATATGTTGGAGCCATGTAGTATCTGACTCCCCACTCTGGAGACACTACATTCCTAAGCAACACAGTCATCAAAATATATCAAGTCTTATATATGTTTATATAATTATTAACCATTCTATGCAATCAATTTCTAGATACTGTTTATTGACTAAAATTCAATAATAGTGAAATGAGATTTGCTCCAGTTCTATAAAACATGACTGGCTTCTGTAGAGTCAAGAATAGTGGTGAGCAGTCTGACGAATTTATAAACATCATGGAAAGAATTATAGAGAGGAACAGGGGCTACACGGATGCCATCTGGTTCTCGCTTGTCACACTGAAGAGAAAAAAAGATAAAGTCATAAGCTTAGCACTATCCACACAGAAATTCTACTTACATGATAACTTCCCCAAAACTCAATACATGAACCATTTTTTTTTTTTTGTCACTGTATGTAAAACTCTTTGTCCCTGTTAGTCTAAACTTTCCTCTTATTAATGACACTAGCAGTGGGTTCCCAGGTGAATGTACAAATGATGTTTCTGGAGTTACTGAGAGCTGTCTTTGAAAATGGATCCTATAACTAGCTTTCCAGAGGGTAAGACCCATAGGAGCAGATGGAATGTTAGAACCAATTTAAATGTCCAATGTTCGAGTGCCCAGTGAAATTGTAGGAGCTTTAGAGACTGCCCTTCATTTATGTCTCTAACCCCTCACTATGGAGAGAGGAGTTGGCTCTCTGTCCCCAGAACTGCTGATGGGTTTGGAAGTAGGACCACATAATTACACCTAGCCTGGTCATCACCATGGCCAACCTTATGAAATTTCCATTATAGATATCAGTTAATATAATCTGGGTATACTATCCTATTTAGTTCCTATAAGGATGACTCTTTGAAATGCTATTAAACTCAAAATGGTAATGGGAAATCTCAATCCAAAAGATCATGGGTTATCTGAGAGCACAGAGCTTGGGGTGGGGTGGGGCTCAGCTTGGTTTACAGTGCTGTTACTGTAACATGAACCCTAAGTCAGGATAACCTTTCTAAAGCTGTGAGTATTAATTAGTGGAATACAACCCAACTCATATTCCTCTTCCCTCAAACTGCCTTGGTAATATTCATTTTCTCCCCAAGAGGTGTTTAAACAACAATAAAGATTCTTTGTCTTGTTCTCATTCTGGGGAAATGTCACCACCACATTGTTTTTGATTGAAGTAATAAAGTCAATCAAATGAGGGTGATCAGTTTTATTTTGTCCAATAAAATATAAAAGTGTTATCTTTAACCCATATATATTGCTGACTATTTCTCAAAAGCAGGATTTGCCATTTAATCCATTTGATTATAATCAACAGAGAGCTCTTGTGACTGTCAATCAGCAGAGTGTTGAGTGCTAAGCTGGTGTGTGACTTATCCTGACTGATTGATGGGAATGATAAGTAATAAAGGGTAAACTGAGGAACCTAAGACTCATCCCAACCTATAACCCAAAGAGAAAATATGGTTCAATGAAGACATAAAATGATCATATACATACAACGACTCCTCTTTTTTCTAGTTCCTCAAAAACACCTTTCCTGGAAACAGAAAATGTCAGTGTTAACTGGCAGCCTCGGTCCTCTGCTCTGGATGGAGTGATGATGTTCACAAGTGGTCTCTTGTTTCCTAAGTTCTCTTTGCTGTGGTATTGTTTGAGCATGTATTCCAAATAGCCTGTCAGTAGAATGGATTTTCTCCTCAGTGCTGTCATAGTTGCTTGCTGAAAGAGCTGAGAATGACAATCAGATTAGCAGTGGCAACTAATTTAAAGAGAAGCAAAACTTAAATGTAAATCACACATTAAAAAAAATTAAGTTCCCACTTTTGATCTACTGAAAACCATCACATTTAAGAAAAATCTTTATTAAAACATGCCATCTTGAACATTACAGAAGAACTTCCAGTGACTGACCAGGCGAATTTTCTCTGTCATTTCTAGAGTTTATATATTATCCTTCTGTGGTCTTTGATGGAGTTTAAGACAAATAGTTATGGTTATAGTATTCCTTAGGATTAAAGATAAGTTACATATAGGACTTTAGACTCAAAAAAGATAGGATAGATGATGAAATATTTTTTTAAATCTTACTAAATGTTAATGGACTAAATATTGTTAACTGTGATTCTTATTTGATAACTGTTGTGTGATATATTTTGCTATGTTAAGGTTAAAACCCTTCCTTTTAGACAGAAAAGAGGAGATGATGGGAGATGTCATTCTATATATATATTTCTCTTATTGATTAATGAATAAAGCACTGTTGATTAATAGGAAAAGAAAATAGGAAGGACTAGGAGGAAGGAGGAGAGAGGAAGGAGTAAGGAGAAGTCAGCATGTAGAGATTGGAGAGAGCAGACACCAGCCCCATTCTCCAGTAAGATGAGACCACATCAAATACTTAGATTAATAGAAATAGGTTAATACTTAAGATGGATATAGCTGATAAGAAACAAGTAATTGGCCAACAGAATTATATCTAAAAAAATAAAGTAAGATAAAACATGCCATCTTTTAAATGTTTCATCATTAAATAGTGAAAGTGAATTTTCCATAACAGAAAATACATGTGAATACCATTTGTGTTTGCAAGAGACGACAAATTTTGCTTCAAAGAATTAAACTGCTGTCTGTAGTTTGGTCCACAGAACATTCAAAACAAGGCAAATATTCATGCAAAAGTGGTTGCTGGTATTGTCCACAATGTCTTGGCGGTCACTACATTTTTTCCCAAGTCAGTAGTATTTTTGTTGTTGTTTGTTTTCCAAGATAGGGTTTCTCTCTGTTGCTCTGGCTGTCCTGAAACTCAGAGATCTGACTCTGTAGATCAGGCTGTCCTCAAACTCAGAGATCTCCCTGCCCCTGCTTCCTTAGTGCTGGCATTACAGGTGTGAATCACCACCACACAACTCATATTTTTCCACATTAAATTATGAAGCTTATTTTCTCAGGGAATCTAATAATGATGCATACGTATTTATTTCTGCTGAGAAATTTAGTCACCGCTACCTTCCACCTCTGCTATCCTTGCAAAGCTCTAGCACTTGCCTAAAATATTACCACTTGTCATCTGATGGGCCTATCACAATGAGTGTCAAGAGTCTACAGTAATTTGTGTGGTAATGTTAGGGGCCAGAACAGACATGCTTTTCTGTCTCGTTAACAAATGTATTCTCCATATGAGAACTGGAGGAAATGTTAACAGTATGGTGTATATGGCACGGCATTTAACGTCCTTTGCTGTAACACAAGCCAAAATATCAAGAACAATATGGGTGATGTCATTCAGTGATATCTGAATTTAGCAAGACATGAAACTTTGTGTGAGAGAAGGAAGTCTAATAATACTTGACACGGCAAGCAAAGATTTCCCTGGCTGTACAATGTGTAATGTATGGATTTGCTGAAAGCACTGTGAGTAGTCAGTAAAGGTCCAGCTGCAAGCAGAGGCTGGAGGCTGCTCTGGGTCTTCCATGCATAAGGCTGTGAAATTTCTGGAGGGAAGAGCTGTTTGAGATTAGTGAATGCACCTGTTTCAGGCTGAGGCAGCTGCAGATAGAAGCAGCTGCAGGCTAAAACAGGTGTAGGAAGGTGTGAATGTCTTTGCAGAGATCAGGTGCCAACATCACTAGCTTCAGGACCAGGGTGTTAGGTCCAAGCTGCTGGGAGTTTGGATTACCTTGTACAAAACAAGATGCTGGTGGGATGGAGCTCTCAGAAGTCATATAGGTTTTAGGTCAGCATACTCCTAGTGTAGGGTAGGAGCAGATTGGCAGGGCATGGCTCATAGGGTTTGAAACAGACTACGAAATGCATTAGCCCAAGTTTCCTCTCTGGATATTATATTCTACAAATATTTCATTTAATAAACTAGTCTATAGAACTTTCTGGTTCAGCTACTGGCCCTCAAATATGCACATAGGGTACTGGGTAATATGCAGTTACCCCTTCTCATCTGCTCTTGCAAGCACCCAAACCCTTGATAACCAAATTCAATAAATACAATAGCATTGGATTTTCATGTGACATTGACATATCCTCTCACACACTGTAATACTTAAGGATCCTGCTTAACAGTACCTATCACAGCACAACTGCTGTGTAGCTACTTGTAAACACTGTATCATCTGGGTATAGTAACAAGAAAAAAAATAGGTCCGTACAAAGAGATGTTGGTTTCCCTTGAGTATGGGCTCCGTGAATGAAGACATATGGAGGGCAAGATGTCCACTTTGAAGAATTTCATTTGTATCAGCTGCCAGCGAAGTTCTTGGAGATTATTAGCTAATATCTAGTGTTCTTAAAAAGATGAGGCAGTTACTTTTACTGATACCTTTTATAGCTAAATGTCATTGTGTTCAATGTCAACCAGTTTTATATTACATTACAAAATGGTTTGCTCTTCCACAGAAAAATAAATTTAAAATTATTTTCCACTTTACAGCCTCAACAAGGTTGGCTGTGGTTTTCAGTCACATTTCCTGTTATTTGTGACCTGACAAGAAGCAACTTGAGGAAGGGAGGGTTTATGCCAGCTGACAATTTAAGAAGTGTTTTGCATCTAGTCACACTGTGTCCAGCATCAGGAACAGGGCAGACAAGAAGTGGGGATGCACTGTAAAATTCCAAGGCCAGCCCTTGTGATGCTCTTTCTCCAGCAGAACTCCGCCTCCTTTCTAAGATGGTTTCACCAGCTGGGGACCAGATGCTCAAATACATGCGTCTGTGGGATCTGCATTCAAACCACAACATGGCCTGAGCCTTCTAAAAGTGTTCTCCTAGAGCTGAGAAGTTGGTTCTGAAGTCCCCCAATTAAAAAAGCTGGGGATGGGCTCAATGCTGAAATGCTTGCCTAAAGTACAAGGGGGATCATGCTCAGCATGGGAAAACATAGCAAAACAAAATAAAAACAAAAAGAAGGGTTAATAGGAATTAGAAGAGAAATATAATGAATGCTTGCTTGCTGTTTCTTTTTTTAATTACTTTCATTCAATAACCAAAGTTTTTTTTTTAATTAGAAGAAATAGAAAGATACAGTTTTAAAATCCTATAGTTTTAAATGGAATTGTTGGCAGGATTACTAGCTTTATTTTGTTGTTACTGTTTAAAATGAACTTAAGACTAGGAGAGTTAGACCCTCAAGGTAGTTTAGACCCTCAAGCTGGGAAGGTTGTAAACTCTTAAGGAGTGAAAGCATGTAGAACATGGAGTTTTCCATTGTTATGATTTTTTCCTCTTAAATTATGTTGTAGAATATCATTTTAAGATATGTTACATTTGTTTATGCTGTGGAACATGTCTTTAATGATGTAAAGGTGTGTTGTATTCTTTTATGCTACATTTGTTTAACCTGTGTTACCTTGCCTGTCTAAAACACCTGATTCTCCTAATAGAGTGTCACAGAGTATTTCAAAAGGCTGTATAAATGATTACCATCCAGCAGTAGATAGGCAGTAACAGTTTCAAACTGAAGATAGGAAATATAGGAACTACTTTCAAGGACATCAGTTGAGCAAATGTAGTTGTACACAAAGCCATATTGATATATTTTAAAATTATTTAATTGAAAAGAACATGTAAACTGTATTTACATATTTGTGTACATGCTGTGGGGCACACAGAAGTCAGAGGAAAACATTGTGCGTTCGGTTTTTCTCTTCCCGCTTTATTTACATGGCTTCCCTGATTTGTGCAGCGGCATTTACATACTGAGATGTCTCTCTGGCCCTGCTAGTTGGTTTTTAAGTGTACAATCCTCCAGTTGTTTTTCAAGTATATAGAATAATTATGAAAGGAAAACAGACAAGACAAACTGATTAATTCATCTGGCTCTTTCATTTAAACAGTGACCATATTTTAGTAACGTGTACCCCCTGCCAACTCTCATTCTTTTCTTGTCTCTTTTGTCCTTTTTCTCTCTTTTCCTTCCCCATCTTCTCTCTTCCCACACTGTTTAGCTTTTCTCACTTTGATCCCCTTTCTGACATTCTCATTTTGGTTTCCTTCCCAATAGTATTTTTTCTTTCTCATCTCCATAGCATGGCTGGCTCCCCCCCCCCACCCTGAAGAATAACAACAACGACAAACAAACAAACAAACAAACAAAAACAAGCAAAACATACAAACAAAACCAAGGAGGTTAACTTGCCAGTGCTTACTGGAATGGCTCAGAAATACATGGTGATTAGGATATCAGAGGAAGGGAATTGTATGTCATTTTGTAATTTTAAACCTTTGCAATTTAAAATGTGGCGAAAAAGAACCTTCAAGGCCACGTTAGCAAATACAAAGCTTGAGTAGTGTGTTCAACAACAAAGAAGAGGATCTCAGTTGGGGAGAAGCATAGAATGAGCTGGAAAGAGGGGCTAGAGGGAGGAAAGGGAAGGAGGAAAGTGACATAATTATATTTTAATTAAAATGTCTAAAAATCAAAAACATAAAAATGGGGGAAAGATCATTTGGCCAGGAATGAATTGCTTCATTGCAGGTGGCTGCTAAGGTTCTTCAGGTAGCGTTAAGTTAGGTATTAAAGGGCAAGATCAGTCAGTTCCCAGATTCTGGAAATGGAAAGTTGGTGTAGGTGGCTCTAATCCAGCCCAGTAAACCAGCGCTGGGATAAAGGAGTGTTGGTCTTCCTTCTGTGCAGATAGTTTGCTAAAACGAGAGGGGCAGGATGTGGCCATGCAGGCTGGAATCACCCCACTCCAAAGCTTGAGGCTGCTGAGTTAGAGGTCATACTGTCTTGAGAGGGGGAAAAAAAGAAAAGAAAAGAAAATCTCGGAATATACAGATAAGGATAAGGGAAATCAGAAGCAATGAACTAAATGTAGCCCTCTCTAGCTCCCTAGGGTATGGCTTGGTTGCTTCCATTCTTAGCCCTTCTGTTACAACCTTGCAAACTGAGATGACACTGAATACGTTTCTCCTCATGGATACTGGTTATTAAATACTATTAGACAACTACTAAATATAATTATAAAAGTAATGCACATACTTTCCAAATGACTTTAAAAAGTGTTACACTAGATAAGAAATAATCTTGTCACTTGCTCTAGTCTCTATCAAAACAACACAGTCCAAAAAGGTGAGAACAGCACATGCTCCATCTAGTGGGCAAACTGAGTAGGTGTTTCCTAAACTAGAATGAAATGAGAAAGACAATTATCACTATCTAGTGGTGAAGGTGTACAAAACCAGGAATTTGATGCTGCCTTCCAGCAGTCATAATGAGAAACTGCTACATTTTGGGTTTAGAAGAGAGATTATTTCTTTCTATTCACCCATTTCAAGCTCAAATCCTGCACAACATCATTTCCTAAATATCATGAATTAGATTAGTTTAGATGGAATTAAAAAGAAAACATCCAAATCTTTTTGACTAGGAGGTATAAAACATCTGTTTAAAGAGGTATGATTTTAAGTACATTTTATTCAATTAATATATGTTTCATTACTAAGCACATCCCTTTGGAAATGTATTTTTATTTTATGTGTATGGGTATTTTGTCTGTATGCATGTACCACATGTGTGTGTGTTGCCCATAGAGGCCAAAAGAGGACACTGAATTCCCTTCGGCTGGAGTTACAGACAGTTGTGAGCTGCCATGTGGGTGGCTGGAATCAAGCCAAGTCCTGTGGAAGAGGACCAAGTGTTCTTAATCACCTCCCCAGTCCAAAGTATATGGTTTTAATTACTTGATAAGCAATGATTATGTTAATATATTTACCATAAGAAAAATATCTACTCTGTTTAGTGAGGCTGCTTTCTTCTATCTGTGGTTTCAGTGATTTTTCACAGTTATCTGACAAAGTCAGTCTCCTGTTAACTTTTTATAGGGCACATTGGTAGTTTCTTGGAAGTAACATGATGCCTAGAATTCAGAACAATGCCTGGCAATTCTTTGTCAAAAAAATATCAGCTACTTGAGAGAATTAACATAGAATTATGTATTACTCATTTGGTTTATGTAAAGAAGAGCATTGACACAGCCAAGTCCACACACACTTCAGTAGAACAGCAGCAGATATGTATTCCCACGTCAGGAAGATTTGTCTTCCCACAGATAAAACACATTCGAGGTCATAGTCACTGTCCCAGTAGGAAATGCTGCCTTCTGTCAATTGTGTATGCTTATTCAGCATCTTTCTCATTAGCAGAAATCCTTCAGAACCTGTTTCAACCAGGCCAGGATGTGGGAAGGCAGAAGGCCAGGTTTCTTACCTCTAAACTAGCATGCAAGGAACAGACCAACAAAATGGGAGGGTTGGAAATTCGGAATCCATTGGCCCCAGGGATTAACTGCAGTTCTGAAAAATTAGTATAATGTCATTATTTGTAACTTAAAGAAGTTATCATTTATATCTTTAAAAAGGACTTACAGCTACATGGAATGAAAGAGTAAGACTTAACCCCTTCCCCCAGTGGTATTCTTGAACTACATAAAAGAAACTCAGTGGAAGGAAAATTCTGGTGTGTTTTCACTCCATGTAAATTCCTATGACATGGGCTCAGCCCTGTCAGCTGACTTGACACTGGAACTCTCACAAGGAAGATAAACATGGTCTAAACCCTACCCTCTGTCTTTCTAGTTATAAGACAGAATTTCCTTTTTACACCATGCTTTAAAAACTTTTTACAAATGTCATGCAGAGGGAGAACATGAAGATGTGTAGTCATGGGATTCTGGGTCACCTGAAAGCAGAGTGATGAATGAAATGACCCGTTGAGGTGATTTCTAGCTCTAGGAGTTTTATGAGGTTACATGGCTTTCTTAGGACAAGGAGAGGAGATAAAAGATCTGCCTATGTATGGTGATCTAGAAAATAAAGGGGTAGCAGGTGTTCCCCTAATGTTATTGAGTACATTAAAATGAAGCAAGTTAAATCTAATATCATTGGGGTGAACAGAAATCCACTTAAGACAAAGAAGAATGTGTTAAATTTTTTGGAAATTTATCAGCCTTGGGGTAGCTAAAATAAGGCCAGAAGGCAAAGTCCAATCCACCACTTGGTTTTGAATCATTTTGTTTCAAGTAAAGGCTCAGTAGACAATGGTCTTGGTGGTGACTTCTATGTGCCTCTATGGCTGCTTTAGCACCAAAATACAGAGTTGAGCAGAGCTGCTTAAAACAGTTCCAGTCCCCTGTAACACAGCAAGAGGGCCAGGGCTGTTTTTGACCTAATCAAATCCTCTCATGACTGAGTCAACTGAAGTGACCGTCATGAAGTTAGCAGCCTGGCTTCTGATCTGAATGGGGTTGTCCAATCAGGACTCTGCGACCTGGTTGTTGCCAATTTAAAGACATAACCAGTTCGCAAGATCTGGACACATACTAAACATTAACTTTATGCTTAACTGGAAAATGCTCATGATACCCCCCAGTGTTCTAGAAGGCTGGAGTTCAATCTTGGGAAAAAAAAAGAAAGAGGGCAGATGTGCCCCTGGTGCATGGCAACTTACTACTCCTTGATGTAACTACATAGAGTGATTCTTAGTCTTTGCAACACGGCAAATGCCACAGCAAGAGAATAAATGGAACACGAATAACTGTGAACATTAGTTAAAAGTGCTGTAGTATGCCATTGGGTTTGTAATTTTGAATTTAACTTACTCTTAATCCAAATACTGAAGTCAACATCATTCACATTAAATATGTGAAACAGAACAAACAATGACTGGCATTATCACAAAACTATTAAGCAGTGAATTGGGATTGACATTCATGTTTCTCTGGCTCTGGCCTCAATCATCAAATTGCCCCATCTCCCCTGCCTGTGCTTTGGCCATTCCTACACGGGAATCAGACCAAGCCACATGAGCCACAGGCTAGATTCTACTTCCTTTAATCTCTCTTCAAAGGGATAAAATACAAAATCATGTTAAATCTATAAACACTTAGCCTTACATACTGAAATGTCATTTCTTATTTTGGAAACCACAGTGACATTTTCAAAGTGCATTCTCCATGGGGCATGTCTTTTCCATGGAATACAAAGTTGGTTGAAAATTAGAATGAAGTCAAAACAAAACTGCATATGATGAAGTTGAATATACTTACTGTTATCCATCTTAAATCTTGTACTGAGTTCATGGCCAAACCATCCCACTAACCTAAAATATAAGATAACAATAGGCATTTGCTCTCCAATACTACTGCAGTTGATTTAGAAATTTGTGACCAGCATATTAAAATAGATTGTGGTGCAAGTTAGCAAATATATAAGTATATAAATGTTATACAAGAGAATAAGACACTATAAAAATAAGGAGAAAAATACATTTTCTAAATTATTTATTTCATTTTACTATGGTAAAATATATTTGCATTTAATATTTTCTTATACAATGTTTTTTTTAATTGTTGAAATGATTTAGAAAAACATTCATGGGAGTTTTGTTTTTTAATGACAAACTAAAGCTTAAACATTAAAGTTATCCACTGTACCATGGTATTTTACAGTAGAATCCTAGAGAGTTGGCCTAGCAAAACTTGATAGAGTGCCGAGAGTGTATGAATAATTTCCTAAAGAAATGTAGGTCTTCAGTTTGAACTTAATTTACACTGAATATGTCTGAATGAGCCAGACAGAAAATAAAGATTATATAGGAAAAAATCATGTCTGTGTCTGTTAGATGGAAAACAGAACAAAATAATTTAGAGTTAAAAACAAACAAACTGTGAGAAAAGCTCAGTGCTCCCAATCAGAAGTTTCTGTGAACAATGTTTGCAATGATATCCTATCTACTTGATTAGATATAGTGATCAGGAGGAGATGGGAGATGAGCAAACTCACTCTTTGGTACAGCACAGAGGTTCATCAGACATAGAAATTGATCAGGCAGCTCTGCCCTGATCAGTGGTCTACTCCTTTTGTGGCCTTAAACTTTGAATACTTGGTGGAACTGTGGAAGATGGAGCCTCGTTGGAGGAAGGGGGCTCTGTGTAGTTTTTGCTCCTTCCTGATACTCTTTTCCTTGTCTCCTGGGTGTCAGGAAATGAGACACCCTTCTCTACTATGAACATTCTCTAGGCTGTTCTGCTTTGCCACAGGACCAAGGACAATGGAGTCCCCTGACCATGAACTGAGAGACAGACTAATTGATCCTCAGTAGAATTCTTTCTCCCAGGTATTTGTCACATAGGCTGATGATCATTGTATTGTCAGTGCAATGCCTTTCGAATAAAGACCATGATATCACTTTTGGAACTTGGAGAACTATTTATCCACTTATACATAATAAATTCATGAAAACAAAATAAATTTTGAAATACAGAAGTACTGAAAGGAATTTGTGATCTTATTTTGTAAATAATATACAACAATTTTTAAGAAACATAAAATACACACACATTAGATGAGTAAGCAGAGTAATGGAAAAGAAACATCTTCAAGACAAAAGGAACTGGATAGAATACATAAAATCCATCTTTGTGTCATGGACTATGTGCTTATTGTGGTATAAAGCACCTGAAAGTAAAGGAAATGTGCTTGTATGTTTTCATTATTTTTTGTTTTATTTTTGTCTGTGCATCTGTGCCTACTTGTCTGTATGTGCACTGTGCATGTGAGTATTCATGGAGATCAGAAGAGGGAATTGATTCTCCTGGAACTTTTCAATGTGGTTGTTGATGTGAGAATAATAAGGGGAAGTGTAAGAAAGTACAGGTAAGGTGCTGCATAGTGGTTTTTAGAAGCAGCAAATAACTGCCCTTGAGGAAAGTGACCAGCCTCAAAGTCAGAGGAGATTCTGGGATTTTTCTGCAGTTATTTGCAAGCTGTGAAGAGAGTTCCTGGAACATGGCTTTCATTAGTCACCATAGTTATTGGGGTAGCCATTTTGGAGACAGTACTGTTTTGAGCCACCCCTGCTAAAAAAAAGAAACCCTGCCCCCTTACTCTTGTTAGTAACCCCGATGAAAACTCATTCTTTTACAAAGTTGATTGGTTCAAATGTTACTCTGATCTATTGTGTGTTCCCTTTCTGGGGTGAATAAGTGTGCATGCACATTCAAGTGTGTAGTGGCATCTTGCTTTGCCAGTGAACTTGTGGTGGTGGCCACATCCTATGGGTGTGGGTTCATGTGTGTAGATGTGACCCTTTATAAGGTATACAAGGAGCTGGCTCAGTCTCTTGGGTTGTGACGAGAGCATCAGTAGGGCAGAGATTCCATCTTCTGGAGCAGGAAGACCACAGTGCTTCCCTAATGAAAACCTGTTTATCATTCATCTTGGGTCTTGTGGACTCCTTTAAGCCCCACCTTCACAAGTGTGTGTGTGTGTGTGTGTGTGTGTGTGTGTGTGTGTGTGTGTATCTGTGTCTGTGTTGTGTCTGTGTGAATGGTGTTTTTCTTAGGAATAGTGTTGCACACAACATCTTAGAAATGTGATAGATTAAAATGAGCTTGTAGAATTGAGTTTGAAAACAGGACAGCTGAAAGAAGTAATGAAGGATTTTGAAGGAATGTGAGGAAGGAAGGGGAAAAAAAGAAAAGGACAGAGGAGAGCAAGGGAAGAAAGAGATCTAATGCAACTTACAGAGAAACTGGTAATTACTGGTCGCAAAGAAAAAAAAATATACCATTAACATGCATTTCTAAGAAGAAAAGAAATAAAAGAACCTTTGAACATTTAAAAAAAGCTGCACTATTTCAACATAATTTTATGCAATAAAGACAGATTTGAACATTTATATTGAAACAATGCAATGGCATCTGAGAGTTGCAGCCCACAGTGAGCCATCTGCATATGAGAACTTTAGCTTACAAGGAGTTCAGAAAGGAAAGTAAGTCAAAGCAAAGGGTGATGGCTAGGCAAAAGGCAGATCAAACATGCCAAAGCCACCACTATTTGATAAAAGCAAATAACAGGAATTTTCAAAAGAAATTTTAAAGAAAATTTTAAGTATTGGAATATTTTGCTTAAAAATATCAATCAGAAAAGTGAAGTGTGCTGAAATGCTCCTTTAGAAGCTCTCAAAACAGAAGACATAACACTGAAGAAAGTCCAGACACATCTATCAAAGCAATAAATGCCAATGGCTCCAGTAAGAATCTTGAAGTCAGTAGTGGTCAGGAGATTCTGTTTCCTTAGGAAAATGTGAGAAAATGAAACAAAGTAAAAAAAAACAAAAGCAAAAACAAAAACAAACAAACAAAAAATGGTATGTGCAGGGTTAGTTACAAATAAGAAAAACATAGCTTACAGTGAAGAAAATATTATCTAAAATATTTTAAAATATCAGTAAAATGAACACTTTCCTAAAAGAAAGTGATTTATTTAACTTAGTACCAGAAAGGAAGGAAAAAGTCTAGACCAAAAGATGTTTATAGAACTAGAAAGCATTATAAAAACCTAAAGCCATAAAAGAAAATCTATCTTGCTACTATTGTGTTGGAGTTGATAAAGTTCAAAATTATTTATTAAAATCCATCAACAATTATTATCAGACAGAAAACATTTAAAAAATTACTATTTTTTAAGAGCAACATAAGGTCAGGGCAGTCTATGGGGCCTCTGATAGTGGATCAGTATTTATCCATAGTGTACGAATGGACTTTGGGAGCCCATTTCATATAGAGGGATACTCCCTTAGCCTAGACACATGGGGAGGGCCTGGGACCTGCTCCAAATGATATGACAGACTTTAATATTCCCCATGGAAGACCTCACCCTCCCTGGGAAGCAAAATGGGGATTGAAGGGGGGTTGGTGAGGTGAACAGGAGAGGACGGGAGGGTGCAGTAACTGGGATTGATATATAAAACAAGCTTGTTTCTAATTTAAATAAAAACTATTTTATATTTATATATTATATGTTTATTTTATATTTATACATATATAAGCTAATATATCATATATATACATACATACATACATACATACATACATACATACATACATACTTAAGTGAGAATGACAGATATAAAATCAAACTAAAATTTTCTTTTTTGAGACAGGGTTTCTCTGTATTACTTTGGCAGCCTGTCCTGGAAATAGCTCTGTAGACCAGACTGGCCTGGAACTCATAGAGATCTGCCTGCTTCTGCCACCCAAGTGCTGGGATTAAAGGCATGTGCCACCGATGCCTGGCCAAAATCATAATCTTAAGTGTACACAATCATAAAGAATTTGAACTTTGAGGAGTAACACCAAAGCTTCCAGAATAAACTGCAAGAGTTTACAGATGAAAAATTTTGGGGAAAGGAGGTAAATTATGACTACTTTCAAGTAATATAATTTTGTACTTGGTAAGAACAAATTGATAATTTAATATAGTAGTTTAGCATGTAATTATTACAAAAATAAATTCTTAAATACAAACTTGCATCATTACACAAATATAGTAACATGTAAGGCCTACATTTCTAAACCACTTCAAAAGGACATGATTAGTAATCAATATTAAAGGAAACCAATTATCCTTGAGTTGATGTGCAAATTTAATATGAGCCACATAAAAATGCAAGCAACCTTGATTTTATTTATGAAAAATGAAGCTGACTCAAATGTCTCATGGAAAACAAACAACACTAAGAAATCACTTTGTGAAAAAAAATATGACAGAAAATATTTCTAGAAGATTTTACTATCTGTGAAAGTTCCAATCTAAAACAACATACACTATGTCAATGAATGAATAAACACATAATTCATTGTGTCATATAAAACTAAAAAGAATTTTGAGATTATTTCTGCAGAAAAACCAACTAGAAAAGATTGTTTAGGTAACAGTGTAAACCATATTCAATTTAAATCACAAAGGATTAGCTAATCTAAAACTTTACTTATTTCATGTATGTAGGTATTTTGTCTGCATATGTGTCTGTGCAACACATATATCTAGTGCCTGCTAAGCCAGAAGGTGGTTTGTGATTCCTTGCAGCCGGAGTTTTAAATGGTTGTGAGCCACCTTATGGAGGCTGGGACCCAAACCCAGGTCCTGTGGAAGAGTAGCAAGTGCTCTTAACCTCTGAGCCATCTTTCTAGCCACTAGCTAATCTTCATATATATGTAGGCACAGCATTCAACCAAAAGGGAGGAAGCAAACCCCGACATTTATGACAACATGATAGAAATGGGGGACATTATATTACATGAAACAAAACATGTA